AAGATGGAGCAGTTGTGCCTTTCTAAATGTCAGATGAAATCATGTTCAAATATCAACACAAAATACATTTCAATGCCAAACACAATTATATATTTTTCATTATCACCACTCTGGATTAGCCACACCATAGCTCCCTTAACTAAAATAGACAATTATGTAGTGGCTACATTAAAATAATAATTTTCAAGGGATATTTGATATTAAACTAGGGAATCAGAAACTGGAACCTATTTGGGTCTCCTTAATAAGCTCATAATTATCCTTGAATGAGTGATTTTATTCTTCTCTGCTCTAGTCTGGTGTTTTTATAAAATTGCCATGTTCAGTTATACCATGAACCTGATATAAAAGAATACTGAGAAAATTAACAAATGAGAATTTTTCAAAAGCTTTAAAATTTGATCAAAGTTCCAATTTTCAACAAAAATGAAACCTCTCACTGTATACGATTTACTCATTTGCATCCAAAGACCTTTGATGAGAATAATTTTTCAAATATAAACAATTAGTAACAGGCCATTTGTTTACTAAATGTTTTAGGAGAGATCCAGCTGTCAGTCTCTCCTTCACTTGACTAATCTGAAGTTCGAATTTCCTCATGACATTTCACGATTTAAAAATGTTTAGCTCAACAAGAAGGTCTTTTTGTATTGGATATATTAAGGGTTTTTTTTCCCATATACTATCCAAGAAGAAACATGTTTCGATCTAAAAAAATGATTAGCGTTTCCATATCATTTGACTTCATTTTTAATATACCCTAGAAATATATCTTATCACTTAATTTATTTTGATGTGGATGGGGCCCTTTTTTAATCAACTTTAAAATTATGTTCTGCTGACTTGTAAATAGCAGGTCAATGCTAATTGAGAGGAGCCTTAAAAACTGTGACACCTTTTATGCCTGCACAGAGATTCCAGGCTCTATATGTTCTAATCTTTGGCTTCCCAATATTGCCTTTATGAGGTTCAGAAGATGAATGCTCATTGCTTTTAATCCTTACTATGATTTATGAGCCTCTTGGTATCCTGTCCCCAGAGCAGCTACAACTGTGTGGTTGTTCTGCCTGCTGCTTAAATTACACAGACATCTGCAAAGTAAATTATGGATTGTTGTCCCATAGACCATAATCAAGCATTCTCTTCATCTCTCCTGCAGGATTGTTTTTATTAGAACAAAAACAACATGCATTTCCCCTTGCTTATGTACTGAAGAAATTTTAAGCTAACCTGAATGATAGCACAATCACCTAGATCGTGATCTGCCACATAACATCAAAGCAGGATGACATATACACAGGATTACTTTAAAGCTAGAAAAAACAGCTCCCATTTATTTATTTCTCTCTTCTTTATTTAACAAATACCATCTTTAGGTTCACGGAAGGAAACTGACCTTTAAAATTAACTAAAAATATGTGCCATGGAATGAAGACACAAATAAGTGACCTTTGAGTCTCTGAGTGTGCGAGATTTTAAGAGCATCTTGTGGCCCATGGCTCTTTAAACTAAAAATTGAGGAAAAAAATAGAAAATTACATACAGGAAAATAAATGGAAGATCAGTGTATCTTTTTTAGATTTTGTTTTTCTTCTACTGATGTCCCTTGTAGTAAACCTGTTTTAATAATCCTGGAAGCTTACAGCAATCATGAGCAACTGGAACAACTCTTGCTTCTGCATAAAAAGCCTAGCAGAGTCTGAGTTGAAATAGCCAACTCCCTCTGTATTTTCCTTTCCTTTCTGTTCTTATTATCCTGTGTAGATGATGAATCATAATTCCCAGTGACAAGTCCATTGTGTAATCCTAACAGGCCTGTCTCAAATGACTAACCTTTGACAATTACCAAAAATTAGAAATATCCCAGCATTTATTTTCTTCAGATGTGCTAATTGCAACCCAAACAATAACCCATCAGGGAAAACCACACTAACAAAATGTATAAAATGATTTCTAGTAATGCCTTACAAAGTGCATTTCTTTTTTAAACAGATGGCTCTGCAATTCATTTTCTGAACCCTATTGTCAACTCAGCAGGGTGTTGTGAGCACTAAAATCAGAAATGCTCAAATCCACTCCTGGCTGAGCAGATCTATTGCTCTCTCTGTGTTTCCATCAGTTTCTGTTTCACCTCATCACTGCTGAGAGGTGGTGTTCTCTGAGTGTCAGGACCTGATATTCATACCAAGGCTCTAAAGACTGTTTTTAAAGATAGATCTTAGATTTGTTTACCTCTGTGTCAGCTTCTGTGTTCATTTCCAGAACTTTCTTTTTGCAACTGCAGTTTGCCTCCTTGTCCTCATGAAATGAAATATTAAAGGAATCCTAAAAAACCCTAAACTATTTAAATATATCTCTAAAGAAACAAATGTTTTGAATATTGATTACCTACAATTCATTGTCTAAGAAATTACAGGGGATAGACACAAATAAGATGAAACTGAAGCTTCCACAAGATTAGACAACTATATATAAAAAGATAATCTCCCAATACATTGCCAGCAATCATTTTCTTAAACACACACACGCACATGCCCCTGACCAGGTTATTTCTCTACATTCATAAGCAGCAACAACAAATAAAGCTCCACAACACATGAAACATGAATCCCACAGCCCAGATGTGCTTTTACATTCATTCAAGGTTCTTCATCATCTGGGCCTCATATTCTAGATTTATCTACCAACTACCCCCATAGCTGATATACACTGCATTCTTTATCTCCCCAAATAGTTTAAAATTCACCAAACATGAAATAATATTACATATTGTCATGCCTTTTATACATCTATACCCTCTTCTTTACTTATTTGTATCCACTTCTCTTTCAAGTCCAGCTCCAATGTCTCTTTTCTGTGTTTCCCCTTCCCTTTCAACCATAACATGCAGAAGAAATCCCAGCCCACTTCTTCTCTACAACCATAGCATCTGTCATATTGGACCAAAAAAGTATTCTACATATTATGAGAGTACTCTGACCATATGTAAAAAGAGTGATTTCTTTCTCATTTTTGCACGATTTATAATAAATTAATCTAACTACTTGTTAGGCAATCACGGATATAATTGATAAGTGAGTAGAACAAACGGTCCATTTTGTAAAATTTTAAAGGAGAAATAGATTTCTCTTCCTTAGATTGGTCAAAAAAGAGTTTATGAAAGGAGATGGTGAGATTGTAAAGGCCCCAGAACATTACTCTATTCAAAATTAAATTAATGAAAGATAAATATTTTAATACTAAGTTTATTTGGCTTGACACCTCTATCTTCAATATTCTTGGATATTACTCCTTATTTTATTATATCATTCCAATGAGATCACTTTCAGGTCTATTTTCATATGTGAAGCTTATGAATACCCTTACATTAAAAGGAAAACAATTCTCTTCAAATGTCCTCTGCATTAATTTGAACTCTTTCCTGAATGAAAACAAGTGAACATTCTAATTTCTTTAAATTTACCCTTTCTCAAGTTATTATCTTTAAACTATTCTTATGTAAAATGATTATCAAACTCTTATATATTTCTTTTTATCTTTGGTTATAGCACAGAGACACCTAAAGGACCTTGAGAAGAGTGTGCTCCTTTTTTATTTGGATCTTTGGATGTTTAATGCTTCATCAAGCTTTAAAGAAAAAGATACAAAGTCCTATATTAATAATTAGAATGGTGTGCTATTACTTTTTTATTCCTCATACTTGCATTGCAGATAATATTTATGTTGATGAAATCATGGTTTTCTAAGAAGGACAAGTTGCCAGTTACAAGAATTAAATTTGAAATATTAACCTCTCTTACCCTATCAATCTGAGCATAAGATCTGGAATGAAACCCCGACTCCAAAATTATTCAAGATAGAGATTTAAAAATTAGTCAAAGTTTCCATAAAATGCAAAAATTATACTAAGTAAGATATTTTCTATATGGAAATTTTGAATATTGATGAGAACAAACTGGAGGATAAAATAGATGACAACAGGGATTAGGAATCAATAGTATTTGAGATACAAAATGGTTAATTTCATTTCACACTTTTAATCTTGAAAAATTATATCTAAAATTTGTATAGATTTTACTCAAATCTGACACTTGAAGTTATTTGATAGTTATAAAACTAGATTCATGGGTAATGCTTTTTGAGTAAATGTATCTCATAAAAGGAAAGTTAAAAACAAAAGGAAAAGATTTTTCTACTTATTAAATATGAGTATGCAGAGAAAGTTTGAATGAATATCACAGTAAGACCCATAAACCCACAGCAGTGTAATTAGATGTTTGCCTTATCTCTTTAACCTTTCTTTCAGAGCTATTATATAAACGGTTAATCTTAATTGATCACTGATTGAGAACTGAAAATACAAAGCTTGTTTTGACTATACTCTACGAATAGACGCCACAATTACCAAGTAGGCAGTGTCGAAATCTCAGGGTTTAGATTCCTGCCATGCACAAAGGAACAGCAGCCTACAATTGCCTGCCCAAGAAACAATTGAACTAGACTCTGTCATATTAATATTAATAAAGATAAGAAAATTTGTGACATTGTCTCTTTGTTTCCGGTGTCAGAGCTTCATCGGAGGTTTGCCTTTGAAATGAAACATATCCAATTTAACAAAAGTAATATCCACTAATTATGAGGGAGTAGGCAAAGTGTCACCAAAAAAAGAACATAAAAAGAGAAAATCAATTTCTGTCTTTAGAAGGCACATAGCCACCAGGTCTTCCCAAATCTACATGTAAATTGAAACAGTGTGAAAAAATGCAATAAAGAAGCTTAAAAATATAGAATTCTTGATAAGAGAAATGATTGCTTAAGTTTCATGATTTTGTCACATTTATGTCAGCCACTTCCTGTAAGTATATAAATATTTGAATATTCTGATCTTTAATGAAATCAGTATTTTTAAAAGTAAAGAAGTTTTAAAAAGAATTTGAATTTTGAGGTATTTATTAAGGGGTGAAAAGTGTATGTCTTGATGATATTTAAATGTCACCTACCTTTAAAAAGTCTGGCATTCTTTATAACTCCAAAGTGCTACTGAGTTCCAAATGGACTATATTCCCAAATAGAGCCAAAGCTGGAAAGACAAACATACACAAAGTTTTAATGTCAAATGTTTTTTCTAATATATATTTATTTTAGAATATTTTCCATTTACTTAAAAGCTGCAAAGATAGTTCAGAGTTCTTGTATAACCCACATGCAATTTCTCCTATTGTTAGCATTTTACATTATAATGGTTCATTTGTCACAACTTTTGATACACTGATACACACAATCAAATGAACCCATATTGACACATTATTCTGATTTCATTAGTTTTTCTCCTAATGTCCTTTTTCTGTTCTGGATGTCACAGTGAATTTAGTCTTCATAACTCCTCAGCCTCCTATGGACAGTGGCAGCTTCCCAGACTTTCCTTGTTTTTGATAACCTTGAAAGTTTTGAAGAGTAATGATCAGACATCTATAGAATGTCCCTCAATCGGAATTTGCCTTATTTTTTTCTCATGAATAGGGGGAACGGAAGGTCTAATTTTTTTTGTTAGATTGGTTTCTGGAGGAAGACCACTGAGGTAATGTCATTCTCATCACTTCATATTAAGGGTGCATGTCCCCAGCATGACTTTTGCTTTTCCTTTTCATACTGTCTTTGGATGCAAGTCACTAGACACAGCCCACATTCAAGGGTAAGGAGTTAAGTTCCACCTTCTTGAGGGGGAAAGATCTACAAAATTTATTTGAGGGGCCAGCCCATGGCCTAGTGGTTAAATTTCTGTGTGCTCCTCTTCTGCAGCCCAGATTCCCAGGTTCTGATCCCAGGTGTGGACCTACTCTACTTGTCAATCATGCTGTGAAGGCATCCCACATACAATGTAAAGGAAGATTGGCACAGATCTTAGCTCAAGGCTAACCTGCCTCAAGCAAAAAAACAGAGGAGGATTGGGAAGAGTTGTTAGCCCAGGGCAAATCTTCCTCACCAAAAAAAAAAAAAAAAGAAAGAAAATTTAAATTCTTCTGCAAGAAAGATTTGTCTATTCTCCCCATCTGCTTCTTTGCTTGCTTGTGTATTCAGTCATTCACTCACTCAGTCAGTAATTTATGTTTATCAGTGTGAACTCAAAGATACTTATTTTGTATTGTATTATAACCCAATACTAAACTATTTATTTTTTTGCTCTAATTGTTCCAGCTTTGGCCTTTATGAACTCTTTCACTTGACTCTGTGACCTTTTGACATACCACAATTAGTCTGTTTACTGAGCACTTCCTTACATTCTGGCACTACAAGATGGTTCATGCTAATCTTATATATTCCCCACCTCAGCCCTAGACTCAGCATTATCTCTTGTTCCTTTATTGGTGAATGGTAGAAATCAGCATCTGGGCCTTAGGTGTGTTCCTTGATGCTGGGGTGCCATTGATTCTAATCCCTCTCAGCTCAGTGGACCGAGCTGGGAAATATATGTATTCATACTAATGTGGATATGCACATATCCATAATTGTTTCTATGAAGCCAAACATTACTTAATACTGATATCTCTGACTCTAATCCCATAACACTTTTCAAATAAACAGCATCTTTGGTATAATAGAGTATATTATTGAAAACACATCTTACATTTCTGTTTGAAATATTCCTTTCTGAGTAATATATCAGATTGACTAAAATAGATGCCCATACAAGTGAGAAAATACGTGTCTGGTGCCTGATTCTGAAGAATTTTTGAGAAAGCCCATGGACATTTGTTATCATTCATCCCTATTAAAGTTCATCATGCTTGAAAAAGGAAAATAGGCTTTAATAATATTGTGCACACAGGCACAGCTGCCTGATCGATTTTTGCTGAGTGTCATACAATGAAACAATAAAAAGAGCATGAGGAAATATAGATTACTTAATAAGAACTAACATATTTTCTTCTGTTGATGCATCTTATTACTGTGTCTGTATTTTCATATGGTTCAACTTTTCTTTTTAAAGACAAGAAGTGTGAGTTCTATCAATTTTACCTATCTGAGAAATTTTATTTTTAATGAACTTATAATATAATTAAAATTAATATCTACATATTAGCCATTATAACCAAATGGCAATCAGAATACTTATAAGTCTTTCAGCACTATCATGAAAATTGGGTGAAAAATATAGATAATAATAGGCTAGATTCATAACTGCTATTTTCTAGAAGTAAAATCACCAACTCTTTTTATCACTCTGTTATTCTGGTATTATAAACTCTATGTTTGTGTTCCCCTAAAATTCATATGTTAAAACGCTAATCCCCAGTGTGATGGTATTTAGAGGTGAGGCTTACGGGAGGTCACTAGGTTATGGCGGTTAAACCCCCATACAGGTTAAACCCTCCTGATGGGTTTAGTGCTCTTATAAGAAGAGACAGGAGAAAGCTTGCTTCTGTCTGCTCTCTACCACATGAGGATACAAGGAGAAGACGGCCATCAGAAAAGCAAGAAAAGCATCCTCACCAGGAACTGAATCTGCTGACACCTTGATCTTGAACTTTCCAGCCTCTAGAAGCATAAGAAATAAATGCTGTTTAAGCCACCCAATCTATGGTAATTCATTATAGCAGCCCAAGCAAATTAAGACATCTGATAACTATAATTGTTTACCTGTCAAATAAAATCTTAAAGATTAAAAACAATAAAGAATGATATTCAAAAGACATTCTAAGCCATTTCATATCTTTAAATTATATTAGAAATTTTGTACAAATGTACCAAAATCTGTATCAGTTTCCTTTGGGTGTGGCAAGAAATTACCACAAATGTAGTGGTTCAAAGAAAAAGAAATTTATTCTTTCACAGCTCTAGAGGTCAGAAGTCTGAAATCAGTAAGACCAGGCTGAAATCAAGGTGTCAGCAGGGTTGTCCTCACATCAGAGGGTCTAGGGAAGAATCCATTCCTTGACTCTCCTAACTTCTAATGACTGCCTGCATGCTTCGTTTTGTGGTCACATCACTCTATTCTTCAAGGCTAGATTCTTCAAATCTCTTGCTCCCCTTCACATTGATTTCTCCCCTCTGAGCCAAATCTTCCTATACCTCTGACTTATAAGGATAGATGGGATTGCATTTTGGACCCACTCAGATAATCCAGGATAATCTCCTCATCTAAAGATCCTTAACTTAATCACATCTGCAGAGATCCTTTATTGCCATATAAGGTAACATTCATAGGTTTCATGAGTTAGGATCTGGCGATATTTTGTGAGTTTATTTTTCAGCCTACTATAGACAACCTTGTAGATTTTCTTCCTATCCTCTTCCAAAGGAGAGAGAAAAATTATTGGATAAAACAACTTCCTCCTGAGTCTATTTCACATAAGACGGTGTGTATAGCTCAGGGAGCATCAGACATATAATCAAACACAAGGAAAACATCGTTTTCAAATACTAAAGGCAATATAGGACTGATATAATCTTCACTTGTTACAGAGATAGATGGGTATTTCTTTCATCATACTATACACAAAAAATAACTTTCAGGCGTGCAGAGAAATAAAAGCTTATAAATGTAAAAAAAAAAAGCATAGCATTTTTTTAATGACATAGAAATAAAAAAATCTTTCTTTAAAGAAAATGTTAAAAGTACCAACCAAAATGATAAATTTGAATTAAAATTAAAATCAGGTATTCAAAATCAAACTTCACAAACAAAAGGAGAAATCATGTCATTGACTGTGAGAAGATATTTGCCATTCATGGAACAAAGTTTTGAGTATAGATTACATGAAGAACTTCAATAATCAATAAAAAAATATTGAATTTACAAGGCTATAAGTTGAATATTTAGAGAAAAGAAGACCAGGATTTACAATAAGAATATAAAAAGGGATTCTATGTCAGCCATTATCAGAGAAATGCAAAATAAAATAGCAATGATAGATCATTTCATATTCAATTAGATTGGCAAAAAAAAATTTTTTTATTAAATATAATGTCTGAAATTATCAACATTTAGCAAAGATGTGGAGTGATGAAAATTTTAATTGTGTTGGAAGTAAACATTGATACAATTACCTTGAAGAACCATTTGGCAATATCTAACAATGGTGAAAATGCAGATAACCTCTGCCCTACAATTCCATTCCCGCATGCATCTGCTAAACAAAGTCTTGCCCATGTGCAAAAAGGGATATGCAGAAGAGTGTTTACTGCAGCTTTGTTCAAATTCCTAGAAACATATCTGAAAGCTTTTGATTCATAACAAATGCAGATACAGCTAATTGCTTTACTTAACTATTTCAACCATTAAATTCATGAAAATATTTTTATTCATAATTTATCGGAAAATATCTTTATTTTTGATATCTATATGTGTGCGTATAATTGTATGTATGAGAGTTTGCATGTGTGTGTCGAGTATGGATGACATCCAACAAGGCAGGTAAAGGATTGCTTTATTATGTCATAATCACAATTATCACACCTAACTTAGTCAAGAAGAATAATCACAAAAACAGATCATGATTAGTAAGACGAGTTATGAATACATAAATATTTGAAAACACAGTGGGCCAGCATCTTGAACTTTAATAAAAGAGGACAACATTAGTATCAGGAGAAATATCATACTTAGTTAAGGCTATTAGGTGACAAAACAGTGAGTCCGGATACCCGTTTTCTCAGTAAGGAGGATATACCAAAGAATTAGATAAACTGCTTTGTGTTCTTCAACCTGCTTCTGGAATAAAGATAAGCCCCTTATAATTAGCTAACCGACTTCAGTGTGGGGTACTGGTAAAGACGCACAGCAATGAAAATAAATGGCACCAGAAAAATGTCAGCTGAGGGAACTGTCAAAAAAAACAGGTAGTAGTTGTGCATCAAGACCCAGGGCACTAGGTCAGCACAGGTACAGTCTGCAAGGGCACGGTCATGAGGCTATTCAGCAGAGGTGGGAATGCCCAGGACTGATACCAGCTGAGGAAAAGTAGTTATCAAATGTCAGGTAAAAGGACTCACTGCAAAAATTGCCATTTAGGCATAGACGAATATCTCATTTCCAACGTCCTTACCACAACGAAAAGGGTTTGAAAGAGAGGTAAAACC